AAAATATAAACAGGCCAGAACCCAAGCTCGTCAAGTTTTAAAGCAGTTGTTCCCAACCTCAGGTCGCGACCCAAATCAGGGTCGCGGGTTGCACTCAGTAGGGTCGCGAGGGGCCTTCAGACAATTTCAAAAATATAGTACTTATCATTGTCAAAAACAATTTTGCTTAACATTCAAGCTATTTCATATATTATATGCCTGAGGGTCACGACAACGTATTGTTGGGAAATTTAGGGTCGCAACCAAAAAAGGTTGGGAGCCACTGTTTTAAGGAAACGAATGCAGAAAATAGCTGGCAAGTTTTCATCTAAACCTTCCCCAGTTCTCAGGGCTAATGATGACAGCTCAGTTACTGCCCCTCAAAAAGTAGGTGAGCTTTTTGCCACAGCATTTGCAGGTGTGTCTTCTATGGAGTGGGACGTGGCAAAACATACAACATCATGTTTTTAATGAAAGAAATGAGAACTGCCCTCCCACTCACTGGAGATACATCACCAGGGTCTGATGATATCCCATTTTCAATGCTCTGCTACCTTGAAGTTAAAAGACAGACTTTTCTATTGGAGCTATACAAGAGATTCTGGCAAATGGGTGCCATCCCGTCTTTATGGCAGGAGGCTACTGTCCTGCCTTTCAAGAAGACTTAAATATCGCCCCATAGCTCTGATCCCCTGTATCTGCAAGCTGTTTGAAAAGATGGTCAACTCGTGATTAGTATACTACCTGAAGAATAATGCCCTTCTTTCACCATATTAATCTGGCTTCCGGAAGATGCATTCAACAACAGATGCTCTTGATTGTCTTGAGTCCTCGGTTTGTGAGGCTTTTGCTCGTCGCTAGCATCTTGTCTACATTTTCTTTGACCGAGAGAAAATATACGACACAGCTTGGAGATTTGACATCTTTAAGGAGCTTCACAATTTTGGATTGAGGGGAAATTTACTATCAATAATAGGTCTGTTTTGTGGGATGTTACACTTTTAGGGTCCACATTGCCGCAGAAATGTCAGCATCACATATTCAAGAAGATGGGGCTCCTCAAGGCAGTGTCTTTGGTGTAACCCTATTTGTCATTGCAATAAATGCAGAAGCAGCATCGGTTTCAGGTGGTGCATCAATCTCATTGTAAATAAACGACTTAGCTGTTTGATATGCAGCTTCCCGCATGTTAGTGGCTGAATGTCGCATGCAACTCACACTAGACAAGGTTTCACGTTGGACCACAGAGCATGGTTTCAGATTTTCTCCCTTGAAGACTGTTCCCATGCATTTCTGCTGCCTATGAGGTGATCACCCAGATCGTAATCTACAACTCTATGGTCATCATGTGCGGTGTGTCACAGAGACCCATTTCCTGGGCATTATCTTTGACAACTGGCTTACATGGCAGCCACATATTCGTTAACTCAAAGAGTATTGTCAGCGTGCTCTCAAGTTATTGAGAGTCTTGGGGCACACACCATGGGGTGCTGATCGAGGAACTCTGCTACACCTTTACTACATGCTAGTTAGACCCAAACTGGATTATGGGTGTGAGGTGTAATCCTCAGTCGCCGAGACTAGACTCGATACACTAAACTCTATTCATCATGCTGGGGTGCGTCTGGCGACCGGTGCCTTCAGGTCTTCACCAATCTCAAGTCTACTTGTTCATGCTGATGAGTAGGGCCCGGATAGTTATGCACTAAAAAACCATGAAATATGCATGCAAATATGCACTAAAAACAGGGGAAATATGCATTTATATGCACTAAAAATGCCACTTATAAAGCCAAGAATGCAGGTTATACGGAAACAAAATAGTACAAGCCTTTCTCCTTATGATTTCCATCGTGTCCTTGAACAATTGTGAAACATAGTTCTTACGTAATGTTGATTCGTCAGGCACCTTTTTTCCAGTATACTGTTCCAGGAATGACTTTAGGCACTTGTTATTCAGTTTATGCAATGGAATATCCGCTGAAACAAATGCCTTGCACAAATCTGCGTTGAACTGGGAACGATCAGGCCCTGACTTACTGGAACATGCAAGAAGTAGTTGTTGCTCCTTTTGTGCACTATTGGACTTAACAGCTTCGAGTCGGATGTGCTTGCTTGTTTTAAGGTGTTGTTGGACTTGAAATTTCTTGCTCGCTGTCACTGGTGCTTCACAATATTTACAAAACAGTACACTTCCATCAGTAGTAAATGCATCAAATTCCTTTACATATTATCTCAGCACTTCATTTTGGTTTCTTTGTACTTTCGGCATTTTCACGAGCAGCAGAAGAGAGTAGCTCCACACAGCAGCACTGCTCCTGACTGACTAACTCACTAGTCCAATGAGTCATGACCAGGTGTGGAAACGACAGATTAAAGCGACGTGACCTCACCTCACTTCACCTAACCACACCTCACCTCACCTCCCAGTACCACGTGTGCTCATTCAGTGGCAACAAAGAGATACTGCCAGATGAATATTTTACCAAAATATGCATTTATATGCAGTTATGTAGGTAATATGCACTTATCATAGAAATCACGCAAAATATGCATTTGCATATGAAATATGCAAATGCATAACTATCCGGGCCCTACTGATGAGCCATCCCTTGATCTTCAATGATAATATCTCCAGGTCCAGTGTTAGCTTTGCCTCCACTATCATCCACAGTTTGTAACAAACACTTGTGTAGTTGACGAGAGTATGTCCCCACACTACACTCAGCATCCAGGCCTCCCATGACCTCTTGGCTTTAGGGTAAGGGAAGTTGTGAGAATTCCTTGTCTTCCTCCTGTTCAGATTTGCTCCTTCGGATTCTTTTTTTTTTTCTTTTTTTACAAGGAATAGCCCACCAGGGCACAGGTCATCGACCCACAACAGGGCCTTGGGGGCAAAAAATAAGAGTAAAAAGAAGAAAAAAAGAAAGAAAAAAGTTAAATATTATTTTCATCTAAACGACGAAGATGACGGAAAACCAGTTCCTTGGATTCTACCTGAAGTTCAAGTTTGTCAGTATTTTTGGAGTTCATTCTCTTTTTTTAGACCATGCCTCCTCTTACAGAGGGACTATACCTGTTTACACCGAAGGCTCTATGTCAGATGCAGGAGTGAGTTTTGGGGGTGGTCTTTCCTGATTTTTGTCAGGATGGTAGTCTCCCCACTATGGCATCTATTTTTACTGCAGAGCTTTTGGGTATTTTATTTGCCCTCAGGATTATTTTTACCCAACCACATAATGATTTTACAGTTTTTAGTGAGTCCCATAGTGCTCTCCAGGCCTTAGCTAGTGTCTCATCGCCACATCCCTTAATTATTGTGAGATTGTGAAATGGAGTACCATCGTACGATAAGTTGTACCCCGCTTAACGCAGTCAATTGAACCCACAGGGTACCGCGTTAAGTGAAAACCGCGTTAAGTGAACAACAGAACATAGGGGATTAATTCCAATAGAAACTGGCCCGACCCCCAAACTCCACTTTTTGACGACACACAACTATGTTCTAGTAAAAATAACATCTTAATTTTATGATGGTACATGCACACAATTAATATTTAAGAGAAATAGAGAAATACAGTCGCCAAGTTAATGTCCATTCAAATAATGGACTCGACTCCCTCCCCCTCTTCTCACACTACACTGCTGGCTCTTCCCTCTCTGAGAAATTTTTGGGGGAAACCACTAGATTTTAATAAATAATACCTCAAACTAAAGTTAGGATAATATAATTGACATTGCTGGATTCCTTGTAAGACCAGGAATATTTTGAATATAAATGTCATATATTTTGCACAAACGATAACATATTTACAGTGGGGTATGCTATAACGAATCTAATTGGTTCTAGAACCTTGTTCATTATAGGATTAATCCGTTCCAGGCCCCCAAATACAACCACTTAACACTGAAAAACATAATATAAAATTGTAAAAATTGTAAAAAAGTGCATAAATATGCATCTAAACCCCTGAAATAACCAATATCATTAATACTTGTAATAAAAAACAATAAATTAGTAAAAAAAAAAAAATATTTTTTTTTTAAATAATGTTCGTTGTAGGAGTTTCGTTTGTTATAGCATTCTCAATTTTATAGGTAAAACCGTTCGTTATAGGAATATTCGTAGTAGGATCCATTCGTTATAGCATACCCCACTGTACTCAGAGTAAACATTACTGTATATCTAAAATTTGTATGTCTATTGCAAAATCTATGATGTTTATATTCAAAATGATCATCAAATTGTAAGAATTCCAGCAATGTAAATTATATTCTGGCAGGCTAATTTGTATGAATTTTATGAGCTAAAACAAATATCTTCAGTTAATAAAAAAAAAAATATTCTTCACAACACTATCTGTCAATCAAAGTACCCCACCTTGCCTCCCCCCCTCTTCCAACCGCGCCAGAAGGTCGGTCCGTACCAACCCTCCCTACCAGAGAAGCTTTGGGAGAAAATAGTAATTTACATTTTTAGTAATAAATAATAACTCAGATTAAAGTTAGGATAATATAATTGACATTGCTGGATTCCTTGTAAGACTAGGAATATTTTGAATATAAATGCCATATATTTTGCACAAAAGATAACATATTTACTCAGAGTAAACATTATATCTAAAATTTGTATGTCTAATGCATCTATGATGTTTATATTCAAATGATCATCAAATTGTAAAATTCAACAATGTAAATTATATTCTGGCCGGTAATTTGTATGAATTTTATGAGCTAAAAAAAAAAAAAAATTTTACTTCACCACGATAATGAGTAGATGAACCGTTATGAAAGTTCGTTCTGGCGAGGCACCAATGCATATAGAAATCGCTAAGTGAAAACCTTAAGGTACAACTGTGTACATATATATATATATATATATATATATATATATATATATATATATATATATATATATATATATATATATATATATATATATATATATATATATATATATATATATATATATATATATATATATATATATATATTTTTTTTTTTCAGTAGTTTATATGTACCTTCAGTAGTCCAACACCCTTTTCCAAATTAGCTGCAACAGCACCTGGGCCTTGAGTCTCAAACTTGTCATGAAACTGTTTGACAGTGTCACTGAACTCTGCCACCTTCCTTTGGGTGTTGGTGAGGAAGAACATCTGTACAGGCTGGACAGCTTTTTGAACAATAATTGCACTATGGTGAAGTGCTTCCAGTCGTTCTGATGTATTCTCTAACTGCTCATGATCACTGTCTGGAACCTAAAAGAAAGGTGTAAAATTTGTTAAACAAAATACTGTTAAAGGTTTTACAATTCACTGCTACTTCAATAATCTGTCTGGTACTCAATAATCTGTCTGGTACAGGTGCTTAATATTATACGATGGGGTTAGGGACTTTGAAAATCCACCATAAGGTAATTTATCTTACAGTATATCACCATTAATAACTTGTGGAAAATACGTTCTGTTCCTGAGACCCCGAAGAGCCAGAGTTATCACCAAGAGTGGGTATTTTTCAACTCGTATTTTTGGGTAGTTCTATATATTTTTGTTCAAGCTGGAATGCGATGTCAGCAATGTTACCTAGGTATGTTAATTCCTAGCCAATTCGCCAGGCCAACATACAGGCAATTAAAACATCTACTAATTACTTAATAAGTAATATTAGGAGGACACGTCGCTACCTGGCATTTAATTGCAATTCACAAGACCCCCTCCTTCACCCTCCACCATACGCATCACGACCTTCATCTCTTGCCTGGAGATTCAGCTTTAAATACACACAAAGGGAGCTCTGCAAATTTGTGTTCTAATTGCTGAAATACTAGTAAATATCAATAAAGTTGAGCATTTTAATATTTTTGCATGTTTTATATGAATATTATTAGTCAGTTTAACATTTGTTTAACATATTGATAATATTTGCAGTACAGTGGTCCCTCGGTTAACGAACACAATTCGTTCCAGAAGAATGTTCGTTAACCAAAACTTTCGTTAACTGAATCCATTGTTTCAATGGGATATTGGGTAATTGGTTCCAGCTCACCGAAAAGTGCATACAAAGTAAAAAAAATGCAGTAAAGTACACTTACTTTGGAGGTGTATGTAGAAGGCTCCTGGTTGTTGATGATGATGATGGGAATTAGAAGTGGGGTGGAGGAGAAGGGAGAAGAGAAGGAAGTGGGGATGGAGGAGAAATCACCTTTCAGTACACCCATGCTGGATCCAGTATTTCCACCAATAAAATTTTAAGTTCACTAGGTGTAATTCAGATTATTTTCGGTATTATTTTCTTGTAGCTCCGTTCATTCCTACCACTAATTAATTATCATATTCGAATAAGACGTCTAATTATAAGATAATTTTCATCTATTACATTACCGCGAAATGTATAATAACGGAGATAGCTCTTCCAAAATTTTTTCTATTTTCTTCCATTAACATCGGGCCATTATCGTCTGCCTCTCCACCAACACTGCGTGTCTCCTGCATCCCCTTCATAAATCATCCTGAGCATGCATTGCTGTACATCACCAATCAAAAAGCCATTTTATTTTTGAAACCAATTAAAAATTTTTTGGGTTTAATTCAGTATTTTTGGCCCAATCAAATTCAGTATTCTTTTGGTCTCTCATATTTGAAATTCAAGTTCAGTTCCGACCATGGAAGTCTGCGATGGGTTAATAGAAATATATGGAGCTGATTCGAGTTTTTGGAAAAAAAACAGAAGAAACTATAACATTTTTCGTCATGGTGTTCTTCCAACCTCAGTAAAAGTGTACCAAAGAGCAAGACTGAATATAAATATCATAAAGACCAACATATGTGACGTTGTGTAAGACTCCCCAATGCAACGACAAACAGAACCAGGCCAATAAGGTAAGAAATAGGTGATTCCATCATATGGTGAGAGTCAGTTAAGTTAGGTAGGGTTAGGTTAGGTTTGGTTATTGTTTCTAGTGTTTTATTGTGTATTTGATACGGCAAGACACTTTTTTCGGAAAACAAAAAAAAACGTTAATTTCTGCCAGAAAGGATGGTCATATTCAGTCTCAGCACACACAATTACACAATATATTTTAACTTGCTACAAGTGAACGGAGCTACAAAAAATTTTTCCTTATTTTCTTTAAATCAACACTACACTATATATTATTAATATGTTTACTAAAAATCAGAATGACCAATAATTTCAATGAAAAATGCTAAAATATTCAAGACACCAAGAAAATGGTTGCTCTCTCGACAGTAAACGAAGTCAGACTAAACCTGTACTGCATAAAATAATATCAATGTTAAATGTTAAAATTACTAATAATTTTAACATAAAACATTAAAAAATATTAAAGAGCTCAACTTTATTGATATTTACTCCATTGGAAACGAATTTAAACAGAACAGATTACTGAATTGGCTGAGTACTGTACCCCCTCAGCTGATCCTCAAAACAATAAAAGGTGATGTTTGTAACAGTTCACTGTACTGCATATATTATCAATACATTATGTTAAATAAATGTTAAAATTACTAATAATTTTAATATAAAACATTCAAAAACATTAAATAGCATAACTTTCTTGATATTTACTCCATTGGAAATGAATGTAAACATAGAACAGATTACTGAATTGGCAGACTGGCCATCAGCTGACCAGCTGATGCTCACAACAAAACGTGATTATCGTAAGAATTTCGTTAATCAAATTTTTGTTCGTTAACCGAATTGAAGATTCTTATGGAAGGTAATTCGTTAGCCGAGGCGTTCGTTAACCGACGGACCACTGAACAGGGAACTAGTTAGTTGTGCACCCATTAGATGCGTGTTTCGCTCACAAGGTGTCAGTTGGGACTTTGACATGGTGGAGAGAGCATCTATTTTGTTGGTGTCTTGAATATTTAGCTAACCAAGCTCAGTCTACATAAAGTTTTTCAACAAATATTTTCGGCTCAATATATGTAACTTTATTCATTTGTTGAAACTCATTTACATGCATACACTGTCCTATGGGCAAAGCTGTACTGTACTGTACATGTAATCAAAATAATGTATACTAAAATTTTAGTCTAGTGCAAACTATTGCATGTTTACATTCAAATTAATCACTATCTTATAAGAATTCCAGCAATGTAAATTATATTCTACCTGGTCACTTCTATGAAATTTTATAAGAAAGAAACAAAAAATCAATCTAAAGGACATAAATAAACAAATAAATACTTCACTAGACCTTCGGCCCCAACTGTTAAACATGTCAATGTCACCTCACCTCCCCTCCCTCCCTCCCAGCAAAGGTTTTGTGGTTACACAAAAGGCTTTAAGTTTTTATCTTATAAAATTTCACAGACTAAAGTTAGGCGAATATAATTTGCAGTGCTGGAATCCTTGCAAGACAGTGAATAATTTGAATATAAACATCATATATTTTGCACAAGGGATATAAATTTTGTACATTAGTGTACTTACTACATTTTAAAATGTAAAGTTTTTCAACTGTATTTTTGGGTAGATTTACTTAAATTTCTTCATTTATTTTCATTCATTTACATGCACACACCATACTAAAAGAAACGTAAAAGAAATAAATTACCTTAGTGCAAACCTGTAGTGTACATGTACTAAATTGATTACAGTACTAAAATTGTTATGTCTAGTGCAAATTATAGCTTGTTTATATTCAAATCAATCACTATCTTATAAGAATCCCAGCAATGTAAAGTATATTCTCCCAGGTCATTTCACTGGCATTTTATAAGAGAGAAGCTTAGTCACTTAAGGACTGATAAATAACCACACATTAGACCTTGGGCGCCAACTGTCAAATGTATCACCTCGCCGCCCTCTCCCTCCCTTCCTCTCCACCATCTGCCCAGCCAGGGTTTTAGGCTTACAGTTTTTATCTTGTATAATATCTCAGGCTAAAGTTAGGAGATTATAATTTGCATTGCTGGAATCCTTGCAAGACAGCCAATAATTTGAATATAAATGTCATATGTTTTGCACAAGAGATAAAAATTAATCACCTGTATCACATTACAGTAGTGATTTAAGAGTAAGAGTGTATATGTACGTATATATATAGTAATTTAACGGCGATTTAGGGGAATTTTAGGAGTGTTTCGGACTTTATGCATTTTTGGCTTTACTTTGTATGTACTTTTCTGTGAGCTGGAACCAATTCCCCAATATCCCATTGAAATAATGGATTCGGTTAATGAAATTTTTGGTTAACGAACGACTCTGTGAAACGAATTGTGTTCGTTAACCGAGGGACCAATGTATATACATATTTTACCCATAGTCACATAAATTCACGATCGATGTATTCAGCCATTGAGCCTCGAGTCATGGTCATGGATTCACGATTGTTATTGAGTCTTCTGGAATTTTTGGTTTGATCACGCTATAACAGACCCTTATGTTGTTTTTTTCCAGACTGTGCTTCTCACCAGCTACGAAGAAAATGGACAAATTTATTACTCGACCATCCTCATCAAACAAGAACTACGAAACCCACAGAGTGACGAGTCAAAATCTTCTGATGATGAGTCAGAGGTCACATCCATTGTGCGTAAGTGGAAGAAAAGCTCTGCTCATGTTAAGGAGCCAAAAATTAGGAAATATGACATTTACCTTAACTATGGCAAGAAGATGCCTCACACAATCGGGGAAAGCTTTGATTATGCCCTGTACAATTGAGATTGTTATGGAAATGAAAGGGGAGGAGAAAGCCAAGGCACTGGCAAAATACTAATATCGAATGACACTGTAAAACGCCGCATCTCATCTATGTCTGAGGACATATAGATACAGTGTACTGCACATCTCCGTGACAATAACTTTGCCATCCAGCTGGATGAGTCAACAGGTGTGTCCATAATGTCACATCTGCTGGCATATGTGCACTATGAGTGGGAGAAGGAGATAAGAAAAGAGAAGACTTTTTGTTTTGCAAAGATATGAGGACGACAACAGCAGGCACGGAATTTTTTTCAAAATCTAGATGATGTTATGAGGGATAATAACATCACCTGGACAAACTGTATTGGAATATGTACGGATGGTGCCCCAGCAATGACTGGCAGGCACAAGGGACTCGTACACAGAATAAAAGAAGTTGCTCCCCGTGCCATTTCAACTCATTATCTTTTGCACAGAGAAATGCTCGCCGTAAAAGACAATGAACCTGGGCTTCACACGGTTATGAACACTGCCATAACCATCATGAACTTTGTTAAAGCAAAAGCCACAAACTCCAGAC